GGGGGGGGGGGGGGGGGAGAAAACGAGGCCAGAGGGGGATGAACGCGCGTTAAATTCCTCCGGCAACGGACGACGCAACGCTTCGTTTATCTTTCGCGAAATAATATTTCGCACGCCCGGCCCGCACGAAATTCGATAACCGACCGCGGGCGTGTTCGATGTGCGCTCGGCGAAATTTTTCCCGCCATCCCGATACCTTCCTCGCCGTTCCGCGCGCCGCCGCCGCGGGGCAAGCGCGACGAAACTCGCGGCTACCATCCAACGGTCCCGTTAAACCGTGAGCAACGGTCGATCGTGTATCGCCGAGTTACGATCGGCTTTTCCGTCCACCGAGCGACGTGACTTCGGCCCGCTCCGACCGGCGTCGGATAAATAGAAATTCGCGGGACGCGACACGCGCCGAGCGTTTTCTCTCCGAGCGAGAAGCCACCGCGATCCGAGATCCCCGGGGAGGACGCGGCGCTCGGCAATTTGCACGACGTTCCCTCGCCTCGCCAACACTCGCCTCGTCTCCTTCGTCTCGCGCAGCGCCCTCCTCGCCGCGACCTCTACGCCTCGCAGAATCGCACGGGAACGGATCCCATTCCGCGAGAACGAGTCAACGACGGGGAAAGAGGGGACGCGTGGAAACGGGACCGAAGACGTCGTCGGGAAGAACAATAAAAGGGCCACCGCGCCAGCAACGGTGAACGGGAAAGAGCGCGCGAGTACCTCGACGAAGCTACATTATGTCGGGCATTTGCCGGAAGATGGTCCCTGGAGCGAGGAACCGCGAAGACGTCGGTGAGGGAGGAGCAAATAAATACCTGACTAAATCGTCCGGAAAACTCATTCCATCCCCGGGAGCGTTTTAGGAAGCCTCGGCCGCAGCCGGCTCGTTCGAGCGGCACATCGCGCGCGCGTCCTCCCTTTCGCTTCACTGGTGCTCCCACCATTCACCCGCCCTTTCGCCCCCTGTGCCGTGCAATTTCCAAAGCGAGGCTTAAGTCACGCCCGCTAGGTGTGACGGAAGGGAAAAAGTGGCAGTCGTAAGTTAAGTCGTAAAGACGCGCGACCGCCTCGCCGGATCGTTGCGCTTAAACTTGCTCGAGCTGCGAGCGTTCTTCGCCGAATGGGAATAGCGGCGGAGGTGTAGAGGGCGGGTTGGTCGCGAAGCTATCCGCGTTTCAAACACGCCTTCGGAACAGATGGTGGAACGTCGGGCCGTTCGTCACGGATTGATCGGCGAAGAAGGGTGATTCCGCGGCCGTTGCAGAGGAATCGCGCGCGGTGGTCGAAACGACCGAGAGACCAGGGGTAGTGGATTCGCGCGATTCTCGGGATAGCTAAAGCGAATGCGAGCACTTCGTCACACGCTGCCGAGACTGGCAATCTCGTGGCGCGATAAACCGTCGCTCTCGTCGCCCGAGTCCTTGGCCCCCCTTCGCGCTGGGAGAACAGATTTCCTAGGCCGATAGCCTACATAAGTAACGAGAAAGTTACGCTTCGCCTTCGTTGTCCTTCGCTTCCCGCTTCTCGCTTCTCGCTTCTCTTGCCGGGACTATATTCTCCGCCGACGAATCAATCGCTCCGTTACCGTCTCCCTCCTCCTCGCTCCGCTCGACGAATCGACGCCCGAAGGAGATATCGCGGCGAATAAAAGAGCCCGGGAACCGGTATTACCCGCGGGGATATCCGATCGACTGTTCCGTCGATTAATATCTCGCCGACGATTATACACGCGCGATCAAAGACGAATTATACGGCGAATAGAAGATATCGCCGTTCAAAGACAGAACGCGTGAGCCAAGGGGGAAGCTGTAACCGTGCTATTCGCGTAATCGAGCGATCGTGGCCCGAGGAGCTTCCGGAATACCCGTAAAATCGTTACACGGAGTAATCTCGCTTATTGAATATTTTACGAGCACCGGCAACATCTTAAGCGCG